CGTTCAGGATAAAGCAAGTTTGATTTGTTCTTGCAGAATCCCGAATTAATAAACCGTCTCGTCGGGACAAAGACAAAGACAAATGGGTGAATTCACGAGGGGATTTGAACTCATACCGGGCTTCTGATCTTTTTCATAACGTTCAGAAAACAGCTCGCGAAAAGCCAATTAAAAGGAAAGAGATGCCATCGAATTATTCCCCGAGCTCATGTCGCAAAAAGCCGGCAAAAAAATCGCGAAAATTGCACTTTTATCGGGGCTTCAAGTTCTCTGGATTTTGCTGTCTAATTGTTACACGTACGACTGAAATATTTTTACGTCGTTAGTCTGTTTATCATAAATATGTCCGTTAATCACAAAGTTTAGCCATGTAAGAATCAGTACAATTGCAATATAATAATTGTACAATTACAATTACAGAAAATACTACATCTTCTAAAAATAATTGAAAAATTAGTTAAATGTCAGTGACCTCAAAGTTCCCGAAAGCAAGCAAATTTCATGGGCCATGAAAAGCGGAAGAAGTCCATAAGAATCGCGGGCGACCCCGGAAGTTAAAACGCTGAAAACCGAAACGCAAGTTCGCACAATTAATCAGACAGGAAACACGAAAAACGTCTGGGGGGTAAACGTCATAAATGCTTATAGAAAGGCTGCGTAACGACCGACAATTAAATTCTCGTCTCAATTGGAGGGACGGCGAAAGAGGAAAAAGTGTTGCATTATGTATAGGAAGCTCCAAGTCCGAGGAAAAGCGGATGAAGACGAAGAAGAAGCGAACACCCGAATGAATACGATATTGTTGCTACCCACGGAACGCTGGCAACTTTTGTTCCTTCACCCCCGGAGCCACCCTCTTTCCCCCTCGACCCTCCGACAACCCTCACAAATAGCAGTTTGACTCGACTATGGAATAAATTAGCCGTGCTCCAGCTTTTCCATCGGACGGAGAGGGACTGTGCATCGGAAGAAAAAAAGAAACGAGGGTTCGCCCTCGCAAGGCGGGGGTGGAACGGTTGCTTATCAAGAAACAGGGGTACTTTGGCCCTTAGGCGGTCCTTAATAATAAATTCATATCTCTACGACCTCCTGTTCCACGTCCAACCCCTTCTACATCTGTTCATCCCCCTCTACCGGGTCCCGCGAGCAAACTTACCCTTGGCCATGGCAGAAGCAACCTCGACGGTCTCACCCCTCGGTCAGACTACAAATCTCTTTTTTATGCCGCTTAATAAAACTCGTCTGACATATCTCTGACTTCTACCACTTAATTTCGGCTCCCTCCATTCGGCCCTTTCCGTCTCGTCTCTTTCTGTCCCGTCTTTTTTTTATCTTTCCGCGTTTCTTTTTCTCGCGTTCGATTCCTTTTTCTTGAACTCTTTTGGGACCTCCTGGACCACGACCAGGTTATTTTACCGCGTCTCTCGCAGAAGGAACGAATTCGAATTCCTTTTGAGTCCTGGTATCTCTTTGTAGCTGGGAAGATCGATCCGGAAACAGAGGACCCGGTGGAAAGGTATCGTGCTTTTATTTTCAAAATAAGCTTACGTCGAAAACATTTTTATTCTGTCGTTTTGTAGAAATTCAGCGAATTATATAATAAATTATTTCGTTACGAAACTTGCCAGTTTGCTTATTTGATTAATTTTTATTTATATGTATCATGTTTTGCTTTTATATAAAGCTGTGCATAAAAAATGTGAATATTATAAGAAAGTCATGTGGAAATTGTACATATGTGTATAAAATATATGTACAACTGTGCTAACAGTTATATGAACAAATATTATATATACAAAATGAAAAAAAATGTTGAGAAATAATATTAAGAATAATTTTTTAATTTATGTGCCAATTTCGATCACATATTATTTTGCTATGTTGACTATGTATTTTATCATTTCGATTATTTATCATTTTATTATTTTTATTATCCATTAATATTGTTGATTGTTAATTAATTATTAGTGTTCCTAATAAAATAATTTACAACTACAAAAACCATCAAGGAACCATGACACATTATCATGAATTTTTTAGAGGTTCCAAATTTCAATTCAGGTTAATATGATGGAAGTATTACGATAAATTGAGTAATCCTATTAAAATCGAACAATCGAAAAAAGAATCAAGAGATCAGAAAGTCTTAATAATTGGAGCAAGTTAAAAGGGTGTTTGCAGAACCTAGGAATAATACCTCTACACCTCTTTGTTTCGTGAAAGCAACCAATTAGTAAGTAATATTCGTGTCCAGGGGCAAAAACTCTCTGAGCTATTGTGTGACTTTTTAAAAATCTCGCCAATTAGAATGCAATTTTCCCGTGGAACACGCTGAGAATTTCCCTCTGGTACAACGGGCCGCTATATTTACCCCCATTTTATTCTACCCTTTCTTCGTGGCAAGTTATTTTTGCGTGTTCACACTCGACTCGTGCAAAACTGGCCTTTCATAATAAATATCTCGTCTTAAAATCTCTTTAAAATTCTGTTCCGACTGTTAGCTGAATATCTCCCGTGTTTAACAATTTGTTCCTGACTTTTAGTTCTGTTCCGCGCGCCGCAAATTTTTCATTACGTCCCATAAATTATGGTAACCGACGTTTACGGAATCCTGTGGATCTTTCACGCGTTGTCAATATTTTTAACTGCATATTCTACCCTTACATTGTACAAATTTAGAAAAAGACACAATCAAGAAAGTTATAAGAAAGCATGGGGTTGCTGACTGAACTTCTTAACTTTCCAATTTTTACGAATATTGTTGGCTGAGTAATTTACGTACAAAACGTAAATATGCCAAATTTTTAGAATTTCAATAAATAATTTAAAAAAAAAATAAATGGCAACGTAATGAAATTATCTGTCAATCTAATCTTAAAATCCTTGTGCTAAATAAATTTTAAGCTGTTATATTTAAAAGCAATTAGCAAAATTATTGTGAGATTGTATTCGTAACGATAAATGATGCGGTGACTAGTTAAAAATTGATCTAACATATCAGTCTTCAAACGTAATCCCGAATATCTGTAATAATCGTTTCAGGAGGTTTAATCCAGTGGCGACCGATAATCATCCGCTATAAAAGTTATTAGTCTCCCTTTGCCCGTGGAAATTAGCGAGGATCCTGAAACGCGACTCCATAACACATTTGATTATTCAGCAGGGCTTCCGATGATCGGTTAATTTCTGCTTTCCGACACATCGCGTTATCACACAAAATTGTCGTTACATCGATGATCCTTCAAACTAACTGCCTGGTTGTTCGTATATTACTGATTGGTGTTAGTAACGTCGAATTGGTTGTCAAAGACAGTATGCCTTTCCTGATGATCAAACGTTACCGTTGTTCGCGCCGAAACAATGTCGATCGAATCGATAGACATCCCATTGTTGTTTCCAATATTGATCTGTTTCATATTGACCTTACCGAGCAATGGGCTCAGTCCGAGAAGTAATTAGTACGCTGGAGTAATTAGTCCTTTAACCGATAGAGAAGTGACTTAACTCCGTTGTTCCTAGTTTAGAACTTTTGATCCGCGTCTCTGCTTGTGAGAGAGCTTATGTATTAGATTTTAGATTTATAACACAACTCAAACACTTCAATTAAGTTTTCATTTAAAAAATTTTCACTTCAAGAAACTGATATGATAGACTTGTATCAAGGCTTGTATTTTTATTTCAATATCTGTAACTTTATTATTTAATTTGAGAAACTGAAACACTTTGTACATTATAAAGTATCTGCAGGTAATTTTACATTAAATCGATGGATGTTCAGTTTAGTTTATTAGAAAAATTTTTGTACAAATGAATTTATATGAGAATGGAGTTTTCTGTATTTGAATTTTTCCGCGCGAACCGAGGCGCCATTTTGAGGATCGTAAACGATCGGCGTCTTCCAGCGTCATCTCTTGACAACAGACGTAAACTTTCGAAGGGAAGTAATAAAAGCTCAGTATTCGCGTGTAAAATCGTGCAAACATCGGGATACCGTCAATTTAACCGGACATCTTCCGGCGAAGAGGAGTTTAATGTATGCATATGACATAAAGAGCCGGCGGAGAAATGGCCAGCCGCTGTGCAAACTCGCGTGCACCCAGCTACGAACACGTGCACAGAAACTAGGAAGGGTGATTTCGATGTGCTCCAGACGCGTAGGGTGAAAACGGGACGGGGGTGAAAGCGGTCTCTATTAGTATGCATCGGTTTTTCGCATTAGCGACATTCAAATGAAGCGAGCGTTTAGCATAAAAGGCTACCGGCAAAAAAAAAAGACTGCCGATTACCCCGCGTAGAATTCAACGAAAATGGCGAGGATTCCTCGGTGATTACTAATTAACGCGTTCGGTACGCTGAAATTATTAATAATACGATCAATTAATTTTCAATTTGGTACCGATTGACGCTTTGATAAACGGGTCGTTTATTGTACGAATAGGGGCTTTCGTCCTTTTGCGATTCAGTTAATTGGGGTTGTTAAATATTGACGTTAATATAAATGGAAATGTTGACCTTTCGAGTTCCAAGGTCACCAAGTTCAATACAAGATAGGTTTTAACTAAATCTATAAGGTAGATAAATATTGTAAAATATGCAACAATTGGTAATACAAGAAATAAGTTTAAAGTCTTTTCTATTTAGAAGTATTATACTTATCTGGCAACTGAAGACATATGAATTTATGGATGTGCTTACTACATATCATCAATTTTTGTTTTATTTCCTTCAATTTTATTTATGGTGTTTGTACGAGGAATTTTTGTAATAAATTAACGATATAAATTCATCGATTTAATATGGAATACCAGAATTCAGTTACAATGTAAATCTTGTAACAGAAAATAAATATTATTCTCAAATATGCATTTCAATATTTCATAAACCAACATTTAACATAGTATCACCAAATATAAATTAAAACGTTATCCGCTTTGTAGTGTTAAAACAAATTGTAGTATTTCATATAAAATCGATATATATTTTATTAAAAATGTACTTACTGTATAAGCGTATGGTGCCATCAGTTTCTCCGCGTGGATTTTTCGCCACACATTTATAGGTGCCAACATCCTCGTCCTAAAAAATAATCATGTCACTATTTTATTACATTCTCACTATTCCTTTTATTACTATTTATTACTTATTACTACTTATTACTATTTTAAGAAATTGTTTAAATATTTTTCTGAACACTATCGATACACGTTTTCTGAAAAGTTCTGCAATTCGCAACGCAACATGTCCTACCATTGTTGAAACCTACAGCAAATTCATAAAACTGTGAAAGGAAAACGGCAGCTTTTTGCTGGGAGGTACACAGAGAAATCTGAAAGATTGCAACGTAACGATCGCGCGAAGAAACTAATACCGGAAACTGGGAGCCTGTTAATGCACATATTTCTTGTTCCACCTTTTTCCAAGAACCGGAAACACGGAGAGAGAGACACGCAATTGGTACAGGGCTTATTCCCGGTGGTTGAACGTACTAGGGAAAAAATTAAACAGCGTAACGAGGTTATCTCCCTACAAGCTTGCTTCTTCCTCTAAGTGCAACGATGCACGGTTCTCTGTTATCTATGGGCACTATTTTGCTTCCGAAACAAATCAAAACACTTCCAAAAGGTACTTTCTATTTCTTGTAACTTATACACCTTTTAAAATTGTCAAACATCAAATACTTTTAAAATTGTCAAGTAATTAATTGTGATTTTTGATTCGTTGGACAAAGAAATTTAATGAATGCAAATGGGGTAACTTTTAAGGTTAAGATGTAAATATTTTTCATTTAAAAAAAATTCACTCATTTAATAATTACTGTGAGTTCACTTCAAGTTAAAAATGAATGAAAATAAATAATTTGAATAATTTACATTACTGACGTTAACGTGTACATAATGTGCATGTGCTTCCAATTCGAAAGAGTTCAAATAAATATTGTGAACGATATTATTATAGAATGAACCACCGTTACATTTTAATGTAATAAACCATCTAACAGCGAAAAGTAATTCCACAACTCATGTTCCAATTAACTAGACCAAGAAGCGATTATAAAGTATGCGAGGAAGATAATAAAAAAGTGTTTCTAATTGGAGTAACACGGGAGGATGGCGGAATATTTGCATGACGAGAAAACCGCAACGAGATACGTGCACGCTTGTCGGAATAAAAAATACAAAATTAGGACGGAAAATTACTTCGTCGCTGAGCCACGTCTTGGAAATATTATCAGTAACCGAGTTTCTTCTACGTTTCTGTTTTATTTTAGAACCAGATAACACCACCGTAACATTACCCTTTTATCACTGCTTGGAGTTTAATTTATAATCGATATTCGCGAATGAAGCTTTCTTGTTAAATATAGTACGCATGGTTTATGCAGTCGTTTATTTAAATTCGACTATTCGAGAAAATTCGAGTTTAAATATTTTATATAGTAAGCTAAAATTGTTATGGTCAATTTGAGTTAACTGATTTATTTAATATATTCTACTGTGCTTGAAAGTGCTTTCTCGGAATATTCCAAATTTAGCATCTTAAATTGTTGGAATCGTTAAGGTATTTATGTGGGATTGAGTGGGTACAGTAGACTCTCGTTATAATGCCTTTAGGCAGGGAAGTTTTGAAAGTGGCAGTACTTCGAATTTACTAAAGTGTTTCTTTAAATTTCAAATTCTAATATTCTTTAGTTTCAAAGTACCAAAATATTAACAAATTCCAAAGTATCTCTCAATATCTCAAAAATAAAAATTTCAAGGCTGCAACACCTCACAGGTGCTTTAATATTCAAGTGTGTTATAATGATCAACAGTAACAATTATTGAAATAACGTTTGACATAATATCATAATACTCGACATTATATTATTAATCATTTGAACAAAACTCTTACTTCACTTGGTACACCAATTTGTTTTCTACAAATTTTTTTCTTCTTCCATACTTCAGATCACATCCTCCATCTTACATCTCATTTACAGTTAAACTTCTCATGTTACAGTTAATCTCTCTCGTTACAGTTTCCCTACTTGAACACTTAAAAAAGTTCTTCCAGACCATACAGTCAATCGCATCAAATACAGTCAAAATTATATATAATATAATTAATCAATAAACTAGCAAATAACTGTTTTCAAATTTTGGTCCACAGAGCTAAAAGTAGAAGTACAAATGACAGAACTGAAAGTTTCGTACCTGTAGATCGTATATAGTGAGGGTCATATGAGTCTTGTAAGAAGGTTTCTCTGGTGTCGACGTAACTTTATACTTGCTACTTTCGTGAATCATCACGCCATCCTCTCTCGTCCAGTAATTCAAAGATGTCGGATGTGCCTCGGTGTGGCATTCCAACGTGACGGCGGAACCCAAGGGTGCACCGACCAATTGATGCGGTATCCACAGCATAGGGGGAACTGCAACGAGAAAAGTGATTGATTGGCTCATAAATGTTCCAATTACTAGCGATACAAGCAACGAACACCGATCGATAACTGTTCCTCGCCTATAAATCTCGGCCACTGTTTGCCGAACACGCGCCCCGCCGCTTCTACAAAGCGATGATACGCTGAATCGAAACGTTTGTTTGCCGATCGTATAAGTACGCTAATACTTTTTAATAATTCGTATCTTTTCGCTCGGCGTTCTATTTCATATCAGATTTTATTATATTCTATTAAACATTCATGGTTCGACACGCTGTATAACAATTTCTGAACGATACAGGAGTTTGATTTCGTTTGGGAGAAAATATGATCTATATGGAATAAAAGCTGATAGTTATTAATCTATGAATACTTAAAATATTAAATTCAGAAAGAAATATTAAATGTTTATTATAATATTTGGAAGGAGTTCAAGTAGTGAAAAATTGTGCGACAATTACGCTAAATATACAGTAAGTAACATTAAGGGAAATTAAATAATAATTAGGAAGAAAACTTATTTCTTAAAGTGTTAATCATTGTTTCACTTAAAGTAACTTTCTAAAATTATTTACATGACTAACCAGACATGGTGGCAAAAGAATCCACTGATTTACTTTAAAATAAGTGTCCGAATATTAACGTTACTATAACGTTTTCAGAAGTAATCAAGAATAATAAATTTTCCGAATTCACAAAAAAAATGAACGATGAAATACCTCACGAAAGAAACTCTCGCGGTTTTCCTCGTCGAAACTCTTCGCTGAATAATCTCGCGAGTTTTGATTTACGTCCCCGATGTCGGGCCAATTAAGCGCAAATTACAGTCAAGATGCTCGATTAAAGACAAGGACGCGAAACAACGACGCATTAAAAGCCACGTTCCGTTTCAAAACAAACTGTGCGCCTTCAGCCCTGAACGTGGCCGCTCTACCGCGTAAAGAATGAAGACGAATGCCTGCGATATTTTATGGAAATTCGATAAAGTTCCTTGAATTAAAGGAACAAAAGGAAGCGGCCCATTTTTTCGCTACTTTACAACCTCACGGTGATCGATTGTTGTTTCGAATGGTTCACGATCAATGGAAAATCTGTACGTGTCGCAAGAACCTATTAAAGTTATGGACACTTTCGACCCCTACGAAATCGAACATTTATTTCCTCGTCGCTTCGTTTATCCAATATCACAGCTGTGGAAAATTAATTGACGGATAAATAGAAGGGGTGGGATATTGTATTTTGGTATTTTGGTAATTGGTTGTTTGGTACTTGGTAGTTTGGTAATTTGGTAATTTGATAATTGGTAGTTTGGTACTTGGTACTTGGTAATTTGGTAGTTGGTAACTTGAGAAGTTGGTAATTTGAGAAGTTGGTAACTTGAGGAGTTGGTAATTTGAGAAGTTGGTAACTTGAGAAGTTGGTAACTTGAGAATATGGAACCTTGAGAAGTTGGTAACTTGAGAGGTTGATAACTTGAGACGTTGGTAACTTGAGAAGTTGGTAATTTGAGAAGTTGGAAACTTGAGAAGTTGATAACTTGAGAAGTTGGTAACCTGAGATGTTGGTAACTTGAGAAGTTGATAACTTGAGAAATTGGTAACCTGAGATGTTGGTAACTTGAGAAGTTGGTAACTTGAGAAGTTGGTAATTTGAGAAGTTGGTAACTTGAGAAGTTGGTAATTTGAGAAGTTGGTAACTTGAGAAGTTGGTAATTTGAGAAGTTGGTAACTTGAGAAGTTGGTAATTTGAGAAGTTGGTAACTTGAGAAGTTGGTAATTTGAGAAGTTGGTAACTTGAGAAGTTGGTAATTTGAGAAGTTGGTAACTTGAGAAGTTGATAACTTGAGAAGTTGAGAAGTTGATAACTTGAGAAGTTGATAACTTGAGAAGTTGGTAACTTGCGAAGTTGGAAACTTGAGAATTTGATAACTCAAGCATTTTGTAATTTGAGAATTTAGTAACTTCAAATAGTGGCATCATTCTAAAATTCAAAACTCCCACAACCCTCCGCAATCTCAGAAATTAAAATCAACCTCACAATACAAACTAAAATTGCGATACAATTGCAATAAAATTCCTACCCTCACAAATGAAATTGAATAGAATTATAATTATAAACATAAAATCCTCGTTACGTTATTCGCCTTTTAACAAAAGCGAATAACCAAACATCGGGCATCGTAAGAAAGAGAATATCTGATTTTATTATCGACTTTATAAGAAGACCGATGCAGAAGCACGTAGATAGTAAGAAGCTTTAAAATTTAAATAAAGATTCTCCGTCGAATGGTTGCAGGAAGCAACTTTCACCCTTCTCATTCCACGGGGAATTACATGGGTTCCCTACTTCGTTGCTTCCAGCAGCGGCCAGGAAGCTTGATTTTCTTGATCCTTTAAGATTCTTCGGAACATGTTTTATTTAGAGACCGTGAAAGCTTATCTTTGATGTCGGCATATACATGATAAATTATTTATGTCGCCAGACGGGTTAGACATATTTTAATTCCCCGGTGTTCCACCCTTAAACGCACCTTTTTAATTGAATCCTTCAATGCACGTAAAGGATAACCTCCTTATCTACTCGCGTCTCTGCGCTCTGAATATGTCGAAATATGCTAATATTTATAATGCGCGAAACATGAATATTTAACAGCCATGTGTAACGCGTGTTATAAACATGTGGGACATTATGTGTTCGTATACGATAACAATGAGACGCTTATTATTTCATTATGATTATAAGCTTAATTAATTTCGGGTAGACTGTCAATATTTATCGTTGTTATTGGTTAATATTTATTTATCGATTATTGATCTTGTATACGACTATTTTTTATCTGTACAAGTGTCAAAATCTGAATGTTTTGAACAGATTAAATATTTTGAAATTCCGTCATAAAATATTGATCTATGATGTTAAAGTGTTTTAAGATGTTAAAATGTTGACGTTCAATAAATTATTGACCAATTAATTAAATTATGAATGTAAAAAATATTTGTTGATCAGAATATGTTTAAGTATCGGAACGACATTTAATAATTTGTTCGTTTACGAATTGAAGAGATCTCGAGATAGTACGAGAGAATATAATTAATTCGATGGCTGATCAAGCACAGTTTATTTGCATCAATAAAAAAGTCGTAATGGCGTGAAAACAAATAACACGATTTAAATACGAGAGGTCGTATTCGACACAGGGAATGAAACGGGGAATAAAAAAGAAGAAGAAAAGTGATACAGCGTGGCAAGTGGATGTAAATTACCTGAAAATTTAAATAAACATCCTCCTTGAATTGCTTCGCGGAACAAAGTGCATTCCTTTGAACTCTCTTCCTTTTTATCTCACCGCTTCCATTGATTTTCCTCACTCTGATAAAATTGCTTTCATTTTCTACTGTCTTCGGACGCCAAACAAGTGTCTAACGCGTGTTACTATTACTATGCTTCGTTTAATAAATAACTATTTTTACTTTCAAGTTATCAATTCAATATTTTATTATTACTGAATTATTATTAATACAGTTCTTTGTTACTATTATTGAAATTTTTGGTATACAACTAGTTGAAAGACAAAATATTTTGTTAATAAAAAATACTTCGATACTTAAAATTATTTATAGAATTTGGGAGTGACACTTATTTACTGTATGTACAATTTTTTATTGGTATTATTTAAAATTTTGTATCAGTATAATGTGAAATTTTGCATCAGTATAATGTTAACATTTTGTAAGAATATAACATAAAATTCTGTATTAACATAACATAAAATCTTAAACCAATATAAAATTTTGCATCTATAATTTTCCTTCAAATTAAATTTGCAAACACTATTTCCACCTCTATTCCTATCACAAATTTTAGCAACTACCCCCACACGAAACATATCGAATTAAAATTCACAGTTCTTTTACACGAAAAAAATAGTTGGATGTATATCATCCTATATCATCGACAGTTTGTGTCAATGAATTTAATAGTCGAACGCAACCGCGTTCCAGTTCCAGTAGATTTGCCGGAAATTTGTTTTCGCGATACTGCTGTTTGTTGAATGAAACTGAAACACGAGTACATCCGTGAAACAAGGCGTTTCCACAATATATTTCGCGAGAAAACCTGGAAATATCCAAATGTCGTCTGGCCCGATATAAATTGGATAAACTCCCCTCCTAGATCTCTTCTCAGATTTCTTTCTATCGATATAGATTTTCGTCTTCTTTGCCGAATTTATAGATACGTTGAAACTTTGCGAGATATACGAAACCGTCAAAATTTACTGTCACGTTTCGGTACGGTGATGAAATGGAATTATTGTTTACCGAAAGAGAGGTGGATGGAGGGATCGGATCTGCGGAATTAACATTTTGATGTAAATGAAATGTTTAGGTTTTTCGGTTTGTTTGTCGAGTTATTTCGAGATTTGTAATTTCTATATTTTCAAATTTCTATATTTACTAATTCCCATATCCTCGAATTGTCGCTTTCACGAATTGTCGCTTCCTCAAATTGTCACATTCCCAAATTCCCACATCCCCAAATTTCCACATCCCCAAATTCTCACATCATCAAATTCCTAAATTCTCAAATCTCCAAATCCCCAAATTCCCACATCCCCAAATTCCCATATCCCCAAATTCCCACATCCCCAAATTCCCACATCTCCAAATTCCCACATCACCAAACTCTCATATCCCCAAATTCCCACATCCCCAAATTCCCACATCCCCAAATTTCCACATCCCCGAATTCTCACATCACCAAATTCCTAAATTCTCAAATCTCTAAATCCCCAAATTCCCAAATCCCCAAATTCTCACATCTCCAAATTCCCACATCCCCAAATTCCCAAATCCCCAAATTCTCACATCCCCAAATTCCCAAATCCCCAAATTCTCACATCCCCAAATTCTTAAATTCTCAAATTGTCACGTCCTCGAATTGTCGCTCCCCTGAATTGTCGCTTCCCCAAATTGTCCCTCCCCCAAATAGTC